TCTGTGAGCGGAGGCCCAGGGAGCACTTCGACCCCACAGGCATTAGAGGCTGTTAGTGAGTCTTCCATGGTCGTATCAATGACAAAGTTGAAGAGGAAAGGTGAAAGAGGACAGCCCTGTCGGACACCACTTGATGTGGTGAACTCAGGAGAAAGCTTCCTGTAGACCTTTACACGGCCGCGGGAGTTAGTTACCAATTACCAGGGTCAACCATTGAACGATTTGAGCATGTGGGTTTTCGGTCCGCCATTTCTCTGGAGAAACTCATACACCTGTCTCAGCAGATGGGCTTGATTGCCCTAGGGCTGTCTCGTAATACTATACCTAGTAGTACCTGACTCGCCGTTTGTCGCCAGACTACTCCCCCTTGCCTCTTCTGGCAGGAAGACAAAGGCTGTTTGATGTCTTATCGCTGTTTTTTAAAGGTATAGAAACCCGGTTCTTTAGATTTTTGACATGGCTGGACCTCAGGGAACTCGATTCCAGCTCGAATGAGCATCTTGCAGTTAAATCTGATCGCCACGATGATGTGCCAGCCTTACGTTGGGTCACGCTCAATCACAGCAAGTAGCCGGGGATGAGCAAAATACCGGACTACCGGCAAGAAGATTCACACTGTCAAAAACATCACATCCATCTTTCCCTCATAAAGGTGAAACTTCCCTTAGACGTTTGCAAAAGGTAAGGAAGATAGTTCACTTCTGCATCCGTCCGAAAGGGAAACACTTGTCCGGAAATGTACTCTCTAGAGCAAGTGCCACATTATATAATATTGATTCTAACAAAGTTCTCTAGTGGAAAAGGAAGGAAATGGGGTGACTTTTCACTTTTCGGGACGGCTGCACTTCCCATTCTACTCAGATTATTTATATAGAAACTGACTGCGCGAACACCAGCGTTCTCAATCGAAGGGACTTGCAGAAGACCGGTCTCAACGGCAACAGACTTCACGTCATATTCTCCGGCCGTTCTCTCAAGCCGCCCTACTGACCTCAGGGCCGCGCTCTCCCTTTCGAACACAGTTGTGTTCTGACTAACTACTTATGCGATCGAGCACCTCCACTATAGGAATCTCCCTCAAAAGGAACCTTTTCAAGGTGACGTCACTCTAGCGAAGTTCACAACGTTCTCTATCAGCCGCAAGTCAATGCGTGACTCCTATCCGCTGAAGGGAGATCAATTTCCCCCCTTTTCATCGTAGTGGTGCCCCAAGGGGATTACTCAACTCCCAATTGCTATGTAATCTATGAGTAACACTGAAATCCACAGAGACATTATTGATTACTCACTAGGGACCACTGGCGCGGTCATGTTCTTTCTATCCGAGCTGCCCGGTTGGACACATGGTGGTAACCTTTTGAAATTTTGAACAAAATGCATCTTGTCAGTCTTATGGTTTTTGTGATCGTCAAGTATTCTGCATGTCTTATTGCTCCGAGCATAAGGTCCACCCTTTCTGTTCCGCGTACGACGTCGAGGTGACAGAACTTGAACTTGACTGCCACTGACCAAGTTGCTAGCACACATTCACGCAGTGCTTGTCGAAAGACTGCATGGTTGCGGAAAGTGTGACGTAAGGATTAGTTTTAATTCACGGTCTGGTTGAGGTAGGGTTAATTCTCGCAGTGCATGGGCCGGCTTGATTTGAAGAATACAACTTAATCGGTTTGAGAACCCGAAACTAAACCAAATAAGGGTGCGCCAAATACATCCGCCTACACCTTTACTAATTTTGCCTTCGTTTATTTCACAGGGCGCCGGTGGGACGAAGCGGGCCTGGAATGCCAATCGCCTGACAGATGCTGCTGAGAACCCGAAACTAAACCAAATAAGGGTGCGCCAAATACATCCGCCTACACCTTTACTAATTTTGCCTTCGTTTATTTCACAGGGCGCCGGTGGGACGAGAGCGGGTCTGAATGCCAGTCGCCTGACAGATGCTGCTGCCTTCATGGCCTCTATCGGTGTAACTTCTTCCTCCGCTCTGATCAATGCCGCTGTTCTCCAATCAGGGTTTCCCTCAACAACATCCTCTGGCTCAGGTGGACTTCCGGCTTCACACTCTCCGGTTGCACTAACGGCCGTGTTGGCTCCGTACAGCACTGACATGAATCCGTTCAATTATCTGAACACCGCAACCATTGCGGCATCGCTTCAACAACAGCAACAATTACAAAAAATGAACATTCCCGCCAGTTCCTCTCCTCACCCTCGGGCCAGTCCAGCGTCTTCATCAGGGACTCCATCGGCGAACCCTCCGTCCACCACAAGACATTTCTTCTGAGTTTCGCGCCAATGGCCGATCGCATTTTTGAGCTTCGCCCGGTCAGTTCCGTCACAGTTAGGACAAACAACTGTCCTTCAGCAGTTGTTCTTATTCCGTTTGACTTTTCTTGTGCTTCTTTTATTATAAGAAAGAACAATACGTGCATTTTGTGAACGCTTTTAATCTGTATTGATGCGGCTAATATAATGTGAACGATCCTCAACAGCATTGGGCGTTTTTCACTACTATAGGCTTCGGTGATGGACAATCTCTATTCGGGACTCCGGATGGATTCGACCCTAGCGGCGTGGACAGGTATACGGTTCCTCATTACTCGCAGAAATTGGGAGTGTGCAGTTTGTAGTTATCTGGCATGAACCTGTTAACCAAGTGGAACCGCAAAAGGTTCGGAAGGCCAATTCTTAGAAAATATGAGCGATCTTACGTTGTGGGGCGAGTTAAATGGGTTCACACAGAATGAGGTGGAGGGAAGCTCTATCCGTTCGCGCATTACCGGTTTCGACGACTCGCTCTGGAAACGATGGGTCACTAAAGCTCGGGAGTATTGATCGTGCTACAGATGCGTGGGTAATCAACAAAGTAATAAAATATCGTGTGGCTGGTGGCCCGCGCAGGAGAGAACTACAAATTGTCCTAATAAGTGGGGCCAGTTCAGGAGATCCGGTAAGATGGCTTAAAGCAGTGTCTGTTAACAGAGTGACGGAGCTTAGTTGGATAGGACGATATATGTGCGTTTACTACCGTCGATATTTGACCCAACTTCCGGTGTCATGTCCAGATGGCTGCTACTTCATCATGTGTGATACTGTCCGCACGCATCTTGCCCAATGCAATGGACCGTGGCTTTTGATTTTTTTGAACCGCGGTCTGGACCTGTTCGTTGCTAACACCCATAGGGATCGATGTTTGTGCTGACTACCGGCGCGAATAGCCTCCATAAACCCGTGACCTCATTAGATGATAGCTTCAAGCCAAGATCGTCGCACTAACATCAGGACTTCAAAATTCAACAAATTCTGGTTGGACAATGAGTAACCATTAAATCAGCTGATTCCCGAGTGTATCAATGTTTCTCAGCTCGCTTGATGTCTCCAGCAGGAGGTGATGAGATGGATTTTTTTAAAAACCGCAAAGCATCACGTTATCACTGACTAGCTCCTGTGAAATCTTATCTTCCCATTCTTGACTGAACTCACTGACAAGTTTTTGGGTGACCTCAAGGGGTTCATTGCGTCAACATTAATCGCGAGACTCCCATTCGGAATTGTATCGGTATTAGTTGAGACGGACCATTATTCTGCACGAGGAGAGATGCACTCAACAATCCCGGAGCGTAAAAGAGAGCAGAGGAAATTTACGGTGACGAAAGACTGATTAACTAATTCATATTAGCTTGATGAGTAATCAAGTAATGGTAATACTGGTATAAAATCACGGGATTCGTTGAAAGTGGTTGGCTGGGTATTGCCAAAGTGGCGAAGCCGGTGAGGTAAGTGAGAGAATAAGGTAGTGGTAATACAAGAAAAAGTGAAAAAAACGAGTTAAAGGCACGGTTCGATCAAGAAAAAATGCCGGTTTTCATTAGTGACTTAATCAGATCTGGTTCCTTGAAAATATAATTAACAGAACAAATTATCGGCTTGTGATAAGGATCAGCTGATAAAAAGAAATATGTACACAGCATTTCGGTCGGACACTGAGTTGAAAAAACGAGGCGCTTCGTTACTTACAACAGTTCCGCCTCTTTTCGGGTGGCGCAGCAGCAACAGGGCGGAGGGTAATGGAATTGGGCATCGCATTGCACTGCTGACTCGCCAATTGTAGTCGTAATCGTAACGCCTCTCGTGTGATCATATCGAACATCTGGAAAAAAATGAAAGACGAATGAGTCGGGGGGGGAATGGGATACGTCATTAAAATAGGGGAAGTAACTTGAGTAGGCGTCATCTATCCACATAAGTATCTTTGCACAGAGTGTGGGAATCAGAAACCGACGACAAAGCAGCCTCAGAAAATTCCAAGGGTTATATACAGTTTTCTGGTAAGGTAAGGTCAATGAAAAATTCAACAACTTTTCAACTATGTTCAACGCCACATAGCTCGGTAAGTTCCTTTACTTACAAACATACCAGGTTATCCGGGGTTCACTGAGTTTATCGCATGATCGACGGTGAATCAAGGATGCCACTCACGAGCGTCTCACGTCCGTTACCCACCGTCGCCATTCGATTTGTAATACCCAACAGATTTCGAATAGAATGAAAACAATTCCACTAAAGTCATCTACAGCTGAGAGCCGTCTATGTGGTTTATACATTTGGATTTAGTCTCGCTAACCGAATACATAGATACGCATTGAAGGTAGTAGCTGATATCGTTGACGTGTAAATGCAAAGGTGGCAGTGGAATTCTCACCGACGAGGTCAGATGGGGGGCTATGTATCGAAGGCGACAGGTTGAATGTAAAATCAGGAATGAGCCATGGTCACGACTATTGATGTGTCCCGTCCCGGAGTCCCCATCCAGGGAGACAATGAAAGCCCTGCTTGCTGGCTGTGGCTTTCACACTTTGTTACCAAGTCATTCCTTGAACTCACTCTCGCCCTCCACATGGATGTGCGAACAGGGGTGTTCAGAGGAGTCGACTAAACTGGTGTACGAAACAAGTGACCAAGCCAGTGCAACCCAATGAGTGTGATCAGCCGCCCATTTGTCGCGTGTGCTTTATTTCCTCCTGAAACCATCCGGCGTACCCCAGCATTACTGATCCGATGTTCCCATCGGAACTAATGTGGCTGAGTCTGATTGGCCATCATCAGTTCTAACATGTTCTGTACTAGTTTCTTGAAGAGATATCAACCGCATTCGAGGGTATAGTCATAATTACGAAAGTATCTATGAAGAAATTTTGGCTACCTCAACTGAATAAATGTTAAGTGCAGTTAACGGACCCCGAATAAAGAGTAGAAAACTCTTTTTAGTGTGTCACATCACGATCAATAAGCGGTTACCTGTCAAACTATGAACGAAAACAACTGGACCGCAGGACTAGAAAAACAATGTGTACAAAACACACCCGTGCATTGATCACGGAACACGCTTGTCTCTAAAATTCATGTAGTATCGCGTTTTGTATTCACGAGCATATGGATATAGAACCGCCAAAGCAGAAAAATAACAATGTATACAATGTTGTCCTAAAAGATCTCTCCGAATAGAGACCTGCTGGCTGAAAGTTCACGATAGAACTTATCATCAGCCACGACTTTGTGTGGTGTGCCGCCGAAAAACGACCATCCCTGTTGTGCTTTTTCTTGATGGGATTGCCGTACGACGTGTGACCCCGAACTGCGGACCTAATGAAGAGCCAATTCTTTATTCCAACGGAAACAAAAGACTCGCCATAACGAAAATTTCGATAACGCAAAACCGCCATGATGGCGGCCATAACGGACGCACAGTAGACGAAAGTTTACAGTTGGATTGGAACAGTATAGTATCTGGCTCAGAGAACAGTCCAGTGAGTTGCGATCTCAGTGACGCGGGAATTACTGAAGTTAGGTGTGATTAAACGAGTCAGCTATAACGATCACCTGTTCATTTGATTCTCGTAAATTGCGTTATCTGGAAGAAATTCCGGAACGAAAGGACGCAAACTGCGAGCAGGCATTTCAAGATCCCAAAGATTTTGACCGACTGCGCGAAAGAACTGTGGAGTACTGGCCTGAATGGAGACATTATCATTGACAGCAATACACCAGTAATACATACTGGCATTTAATTGAGACAGGGATGGTGTGGTGGAGATTCCAGAAAAATGCACAGGGTTTTGGTTTGTATAGCAGACAGCTTCTGATCAGTGTTGTGTTTGTGGAAGAAACAAAGCGCTTCGCAGGTTCTTTGAAATCAATACAAAAGAAGCCGAATGCGAGCAACCGACGGCAGAATGTTAACCTATCTCCAGTGCTGCCACAATAAGAGCAAGCATCACACCGAGCTAGTACAAATGAAATCGAAACCGTGCATTGGCCCGTGTTTGTTAAGGTTACATGGAAAATTGGGCTAGCAACGCATAATTACCAGCGTGGTTGTGCATGATACAGAACCAGGAGCAAATAACAGTTAGTTAGAGTTGTGAGTTTAAAATTGGACAACTCCTGTAGTGTTTCGGGTCCACTAAGACCGAACATCGTAAGACATCCGTTTCGATCTAGGCTGTAATTTCACAGCAAATAAATTGGTAGAGACCGGTGGGCTTCGAGGACACACCTGCTTCTGCTTCGTTGGTTCTGTTTGTCCTCCCGATTCTCCAGCGGCACTGCGACCACCTCAAGGATCACTTAAACATCCGTTTCGATGTGTCTTCGTCAATACTTTAGTCACAGTAAGCTACCAAAGCTGATTTGACCTTCATACCAAAAGTAAGGACATAGCTGCCAGTAGATATAAAATGTGTGTGCACCGCTTAACTAATGTGCACTAGCTGAAATCCACAGAAGCGAACGGTACCCAATAGGAAAGGCGACCAGAGTAACAACCGCTCCAAAAAAAGTCGAGTGGAAAGCGGGAACAGAGTAAACATTCGTAAGAAGGGCGTTGAGGAGCAAGAATGATAGACAATCAAACCTGGGGAAACAACAAAAATACGAGGACGAACCTGATCCACATTTTCATCACTTTTGGCGGAGGTTTCGATGAAAAGGCATGAATGTTTTGCAGCCAAACGTTGTGCGTCACGCGCGGCGACTGTTTTGAGTGCAGGAGTGTCATTTTTATTGCCCACTGGAAAATGTGCATAGGAAAGCGGCACACGGTGCATGCAATTGGTGCTTTGGTTAAGATGAGTGGGATAAGCGAAAATTACACTGCAAAAAGTGAGTAGTCGCGGAATTCATTGAACTTTACACCGGTTTGAACAAGCATTCTCCTGTCCTGACAGTAGTACTCTAGTTAATTCAGACCAAAAGAGTTCGTGATGCACTGGACACAAACTTCGACTTCATTAAACGCATTCTTGGCTATGCGGGGACTTGAACTAAGGCTGCATCACCAGCCTACGCTGAGTGCGCTTCAATTATGACGTCTGGTTAGATTAACACGAGCGATGCATATGGTTCTATCAGCAACTCGGATGACGACCCCGTAACCATCCTAACTGAACCGATCAATAAGTTGTTTCTCTGGACATCCTGGCCAAAGACCGCAACAGACACCGAACAACCTTTGACTAACTGAGGTACCCGGCGAAACTATACATCCCCCAATTATGAATCTGTTTTCTTGTTGAGATGCGCTAATTCACATGCTCCCAGTGTGTGCCGGTGAGGTAGAAGCAACCGGCTCTGTAGAACATGTGATTTGGATTCAAATTGGGGCTGTGAATACGTATTACTGATCGCTAATGAACGCAAAACTCGAGCAGGATATAAGTATCTTTTGGTCTGGGCCAACGGGTACAGGAGAACTCTGTTTAAACGAGATTTAAGTGCACAAAAACAATTGAATGTGTGAGATGTGTGCAATGTGGCATCGTGTGCACAAAAAGCGTTGGATGGCAATGAAATTGGCGTCGGCAAAAGCATTGCGACCATCTAGATACGGAAAACTAACGTCATAAGCCGGGTATAGGAAACGCATTTCTTATGAGCAGTCGTAGGGGATAAATTAATAAATCTGTACCAGCAGCATCCCGCAGCCGTTCCTAAGCTTACTAGTTGATTCCGCTAGTGCTTCTCTTCTCGCTTATTTTCTTTTTGTCCATAGTGCAGTAAGTTACCATGTACGGCTTGGCCCCCATTTCTGATCGGTGAACGAGACCATGAGGACTAAATGGGACTGAAGAAAACAACTCTGGTCGGTCCCTTGATTTGATGTCTCCATAAGTAGACAGCTGTACGTTTGATTTAAGTGTAGTAATCAGCGAATTCAATGAAATACTGACACGCCGAATTTGAATAAGCCCACTCAGCTGTAAGACACAATTCCACTCCACACTTACTGCGGGAAGTGTGAGAAGGCCCGAATGAAGAAGTTCGAACGTCTGAAATGTTCATAAAGTCATCCTGTTCCTTCTTGAGTCTTCCGATTCTGTCTCAAAGTGGACAACTTAAGGATGGTAAAGATATAACTGGGTCTTCGAGATTGGTGAAAACATACTAGAGAAGCAGGCAACAGAGTAAAATTACAAAAAAAAATAACTGGGTTCAAGGGCGTAAAAACCTCGGGAAGCAAGGAAACCAGCAATCATTTTGGAAGATAAATTGACTTTCGTTGTTCATAAAGTTGGTAACACATAAATCCTTCTCGCAGCATGGTCCGGAAAGTATAAGACCCTATCAACATTACTGTCTACTGGATTTAGCTAAAATGTGTGAAGGACAATGGAAGAGAAGGGCCAGGTAACTTCCTAAGTTTTATGTACTGGATATTCTATTTCATGCTTATCCGTTCATAAAAACGTCTCAAGAGATTTGCCAGGAAGTTATGTGAACCGACCTCGATCAAATCCGTTTGCCCGTCATTCCCTGTAATAAATAATAATAATCGTTCAGCAGTAACACCTTTTCAGTGGGACTAACGCGTAGCAACAGAGTAAAATTGCAAAAAAAATAACTGGGCTCAAGGGCGTAAAAACCTCGGGAAACCAGGAATCATTTTGGAAGATAAATTGACTTTCGTTGTTCATAAAGTTGGTAACACATAAATCCTTCTCGCAGCATGGTCCGGAAAGTATAAGACCCTATCAACATTACTGTCTACTGGATTTAGCTAAAATGTGTGAAGGACAATGGAAGAGAAGGGCCAGGTAACTTCCTAAGTTTTATGTACTGGATATTCTATTTCATGCTTATCCGTTCATAAAAACGTCTCAAGAGATTTGCCAGGAAGTTATGTGAACCGACCTCGATCAAATCCGTTTGCCCGTCATTCCCTGTAATAAATAATAATAATCGTTCAGCAGTAACACCTTTTCAGTGGGACTCAACGCGTAGCAAGCAAATTATGTCGCGTAATAGAAGTGGCCATGTTCCTGCAACACAAATAGTTCATTCAACTGTAGCACGCTTTCGGTACCAAAAAATATCGTTCAGCGGTAACATCTTTTTGGGGCCTAGCTGCCATGCCACTAGAAGGAAGCACGAGGTCTGGAATACTGCCAGGTTGCCCAAGCCTAGACAGGAGCAGTAGAGATGCTGGAGTTGGGTTCGAACCACGGACCTTCCAGTGCGTAAGCTAGCGCCTTAACCACTGAGCTATCTCGAGTTCTACAGCACAAATACTAATGACTCTATCGGTTGTTGTGAGAAGCCATGCGACTGCAGTATGGACGGCACCGTTCCGGGTAGAAGAGCTAAAAAGGAGTATCGAATACCAGCATATGGTCTATTCTGGTATCGAGTGAGTCAGCAGTCAGTACATCAGCTTGTTTCTCAGGTTGCACCCTCTGGAGCGGACATCAGAAGACTAGCAACAGGTCGTATCCGCCAAGAGTAATCCCTCTGGAGGAGATAATTATAACTGTTCTATAAAATTGGTCAATAGAAATGTCTCGAATCGAACGACACCATCACATCCCGAAGGGTGAAAGACACCAAAATCTAGATGTGAAGTGCCGGCCTCTATATTCCCATGTTTCTGGGCTTGTGAGAGTGTCTAGTAAGCCCTACTAGTTCCCCACGACGAGTAGTGTCCGCCCTCTACTATTCAACTTCGTCACCGATGAGGACGCTGGAAGGTCTTCAAAACTCCGGTGTCTAAATCTCTCCTTGTGGGGAGCCTGTGGATTTGGGGTACGCATATGACATCTCCGTCACCTCTGAAGACAAATGCAAAGCACAAGCCCTGTTGAAAAAACTGACCAACATCATACCATCTTTCAAAATGAACCTAGCACCGTCAAAGGGCAGTCATGCCGTCTCTGAACACAACCCTTACAATTCAAGGAGAATCACTGGAAGTTGTGGAGAACTTGATACACCTCAGTAGTCAATTAGCTCGGACGCAAATGTGTCTCATGAAGTCGTTGCAGGAATCTCAAATGCCAGAATCACCTTTGATTATTTGCGTCACTCGCGGCGTCAAACGTATCACTTGGTCTCAAGTGCTGCGTGTACCAAACTATAGTAAAGGTTATAGCGTCGTATGGTTGCAAGACACGGCCTGTGCGGACAGACGATTTGCAGCGTCCTCCGGTTTCTGGCATTCGATGCATTAGGCATAATAATAATCGTTCAGCTATAACGTCCTTTCGATGCCTAGCGCCATACTACCCGAAGGAAGCACGAGGGTTGAGGTACTGTTCGGTTGCCCAAGCCTAGACAGCAACAGTCAAGATGAGTTCAAAAGACGGACCTTCCGGTAAGTCCACACCTCAACCACTGAGCTACCTCGAGCTCGATGCCTTAGGAGTGTTGCTGATGTCGAACTAGGTTGACGAATTAATGACGAGGTAACTAGAAAACGGGTATTTGGTTGTGTAGTAAACAAGTGACCGCGATAAACATCCAGCTTCATTAACTACGGTGGATTGGTCACGCGCTGCGCATATCCAAACACCGTCTTCCGAGAAGACTGTTGTTTTCCATGTCTCCTTCAGAACGTTGCGAACCACGACGTGAATAGCATATAACCTGGCAGAATGGTGTGAAAGAGATTACGAAAAGTTTGAGGGTTGTTGGGGCGGTCCGCCTTCCAGGATAGGGTCATGTAATACCTCCTGCGCTTCGCTGGAGACTGCAAGAAATGGCGGCTGATCGATATCAGTGGCGTTCGTACCATCAGCTTCTTTTCAGACTGTTTGATTCAGTATCTGGAGAAGTAGGCACCTCAGAATGTTTAAGACAGAGTAGCAACAAGTTATCCACCTCACCCATGTGTTTCTTTTCATTTTAAGGCTTCAACTATAATGGGATGAGCCTTATGATTGTATGGCAGTGAAGCATCAGTGACAGCACTAGTATTGCTGCCGCCGATGATTATTAAAGACCAAGTACCAAGTACCAAGCAAAAAAAACTTTTCACGAAACCATTCGAAATCGCTTGATTTCGCGAGACCTTATTCTACTATCTACTGTCAGTATAATGAATACGGAGTAGACGTTGAAGGCAGACAAATAGTAGGGGACTGAGGTGCATTATATATACATACATATGTCTTAGGATAGTATTATTATATTATCATATTAGAGATACAGCGTGACAATCGGTGAAAAATCCAACGGAGTTCAAGGCTCGTGGAACCGGGTGAAGGGTGTGAAACTACGTCCAATGGACTAGTGGATGTGACCAAAAATGGGAGTAGAGAATCAGTTTTCCGGAAATTATGTGTCATACATTCGCGCTCCCTGCAATGCCAGTGTAAAAAAAGGTCAGATTTTTCTGGACGCAGGTTTGGTTTGAGGTGTCGGATGATGATCTGGTTTGACGACTGACTAAACAATAGGTTGTTCACCGCTCTCTGATTCTATCGTTAATTTTGTTGCAGAAGCGTATTCAGGTGAAGTATCTGTTCTGCGTGCACAGCATCTTTGAATATAACAAATGTGTCACTAACATGCCACCACATGTACCACTAACACATACCGTTGATTCGCTGGGTTGATTTGTTCTCCACAGTAGCTAAAAATATCTGCTTCACTATGCATAACTGACCTATCACATATTCCAGAAAAGTGAACTGCTCTTCTTCTCTCGCTACTTCCAGTCTCGCCTCACCCAATTCGATGTGCCTTGAACTTCATTGACTTTCCGTCAATTAGCATGTTGTATTCTTAGTACCGACTGTTCACAACTTCTTCAGGTTCGATTCCGTGTTAGTTGGTTGCTCACCCTATGTTCTCAATATCTGTACCTAGTGGAACATGGCATGAGAAATTGAAAGAGCTCGAGTTCAATTCTTCAGCCTTCACACTGACTCAAGGGATTTCCTTGAACACGATCAAACGCACCCTTACTCTAAATTTCGAAAGTGACCAAGCGACAGCCCTAGTTCAAAGCAAACCAAGAGGAGTTGCTCTCAACAACGGAGAAGCCTGAAGCGATTGTGTTAAAAACAACGGCAAAAAACCAGCCTATAGACAGAACTGGCATCCATAAAACCAACCTTGGCATCAGTAAAGTGTACGCGTTTCACAATTGGACAATTGGACTTTCTGACACCAGGAGAAACTTAAGATGAATCGGCACCGAAACAAACGGTCGATCAGGCAGTAGCCCACATCCGCCTTATTTAGCAGTCTGCATATTTATACCCTGCAAAATAAATATCATCATCTAACGCAGGTACCGCCAGATATCGGGGCTAGACTGGCGATGTGAAAAAAATGGTATATATTCTTCATATATTTTCCCCAATGCATCTGAATCGTGTAGATAATTTTGTGAAAACTCTCCCGCCCCCAAAGTACACTTTATTGAACAGCTGGTCCTGGGGGTGCACTAGATTCATGAAGACCGAGGAAAGTTTTTCGAGGAAAGGGAGTAACCGTTATTCGTGTTGAGAGGAAAACAACCTTTTGATCACATGAAAATGCAGAAAGAACGCTATTATCTTCAGCGAAATGCTGAAGTGCTGCGAAGCACAGCCCAAACTACACGTGAACATCAAACAAGTTGAGAGTATGGAGAACAAACGACGTACGGATAAAACTGACTGAGCCTGTCCATTTTTAATCGACAGCTACCTAATGTCACGACACAAGCCGAGAACGTGAATGGAAAAAGAATGGAAACAGATGGAGAAAAGTGTGAACGTGGAAGTGGAGTAACTGTAGGATGGGATGACAGATGGGATGAGTAGTGAGACATTTGGAAAAGTGTGAGATCCTGGGCGTGGTAAGAAGCGAAGACATTCTAAGCTAGAGTGGTCAGTTTCAATGAATGCCTCGAACTACAAACCGCACAGATTTGTCAACTGTGACAGGAACTGACGCTTGGTTCATACTGTTTTCCCGCAGCCCATTAGATTTGGTAGTTTTTTTTCGTTGTCAAGATCCATTCCAGATGAAGAAATTACATGCACCCAGAAAAAATTCAGGGGTGAATGAGAGTTTCAGACACCAAAACGAAACCACGAAAGTGAGTACGAATGACGGTCACTGAAGCTGTCAAACTCGCTTGCTTTCAAACGACAATCAAAATTTATGAGGAAAGTGAGAGAAAATGATATTTATATCGCACACATTCGAAAACCCACTTTGGGATTAATGGGGAAAATACAGAAGACTCTAAACTTCCTCACTCTTGACAAGCTGCCAAAGGCAGTTTATAAACATGCTCCCAACGAGAAGCGCCTTCAGGAGAGGCTGAATACCCTAATCCCAGATATGCTAGTCAGGCGTGGTTTGCCGTCCGTTAGTATCAATACGTCAGGCGTGGTTTGCCGTCCGTTAGTATCTAACTAACTCCTTTCCCTGCGCTACACTCAGAAACCAATCGGTCACAGTTGTGAATGCATGAAATTTTCCTGCTGCAATTCGTTCTCGAAAATACAAACCTCAAAGTCAAGGAGGAAATCGTTGGGGATACCAAACTGGCTAGCTTGCAACTCATCGGAAAATACTGGCAACTGTCACGTTAAAAGCTTGAAACCTCATACAGCACCACTATACGAGTGTATTGCGCCGAACGAAAGTCTCGATCATGAGTAGTGGTCACCTGGAGAGTCTCTTAAAATAGACAATCGGACGAATCTGGAATTCCATTGCTTAGACACAACCGTAGGGATTTACCCTTCATTGAGACCTCCAGGCAGAGGGAGAATTTTGGTACGCCCCGGAAATGTTCTGTCAGACAGGAGAGTACTGTGCTATTATTATGAACGAGAAACGGCAAACGACGCCCGAGACCTAAGATTATTCGGAGTCTTTACAGATGAATCGGTTTAAATTCTGACTCAGATAAATCCGGAGGACGGCTTGAAATGAAGACTGGAGCACTTTCACAGTACTTTAAAGCCAAAGTCTTCATTGATGAACCTAATGTCGACGGTCTTAACTGGAGTGTCTAGTCTTTAAAGAAAGGTGAAATAACGGGACTTATGACAACAGGTATTACCTAGCTCCTAAACTCAATTTCACCCCACAGTGAAACAACCATATTCCCCTAATTAAATACTCCATGAAAAAATCACTCTCAGTGCGTGCCCCCCAAAAAATATAAAGAACAGGACAAAAACTCCGAACGTCACTACTTTTCGGGTCCAGAACAGAATAAGGGCCATAGGATTCGGGCCTACCAGCACTATCCTCAATGGCGATTCTGAGCTATACTAATAAAGCACTGACATGGGAAAACCTACCGAGAATTCGAGCAATCGAGTCGTCCGTGTACATGCTCGCCTCCTGAGTCCACCGTTCTACGTTACAAAATGTCCTTACGTCATTTACGTCATAGACAATAATGATCCCATGTGCACCTCGGTAGTAACTATCAATGGAGAGCGAGACAATCAAACACGTGAATAGAGAAACTCACGTGGAAGTGATCGTACGGAATCGATCCTGGCCAGCTGTGTCCCAAATTTGAAGCTTGACGCGCAAACCCCCGACCATTATTGTTTTCACTTTGAAGTCCACACCGATTGTGCTGATATACGTTGCGGAAAAGTCATTATCAATATACCGCAGGAGAAGACTACTTTTACCAACACCTGAAATGTGATAAAAGAAGTAGAAAAAATCGGTAAAGATAAAACGGGTGTGCTTTTCCGCAAGGGGGTAGGTAGAGCAGTTAAACAATTGAACCGTCAACAATACGTCAGCCGAAACTCTTCTTCTATGATATCCACAGGGCTGTACGCACTAAGAACCACACATCAGCCATTCTAAACCGAGAGTATCCCCCAGTTATGAATTTTAAAGGTTCAGTGTGTGTTCAGTATCTACTACAGTTGACACGCAGTCACTGAATATCAGCGAGTGGTGTTCTGTTTTTCGGCTTTGTGATCAGGATGTACGTGATGGCACCGTGGAACCTATTATATCCTGACTAGGGGATTTATCAGTGAAGTACCATACAGTTGATGGGCAAAAATATGCTGAAAAGAAGTTCATCCTTTATGTGAGTGCACTCCATATGCGCCCCCTCTATACTCGCCCCAAGATCGCACACTCTGCCTACGTGTAGAGTCTAAAAACGGGTTTCTGTGCCCAAATACGTCCATGGACATATGTCATCCACCAGTCAGAATGCGATCAAAAATGTTACATCAATTCCCCGTTGGTCACCATGTTAAAAGCTTACACACATTATGTACCAGCTTATACATAACAAACTGCAAACTGCCAAAGGAGGGAGACCTGACTGAAGACCAAGCCAATGAGGCAACCTGAGTTGCCTTTTCGCTGCACAGCTAGGTGCAACCGGAAGAGACACTGCCCCGTAGTCGAAGCCTGTGTGAAGGACAACAGCAGACCAGAAACATGACCAGGTAAATAAATTACATTTTAAATGTTCCTGCCTGGTCTCAGTCAGACAGGTTTTCCGTTCGCTTCGTGGCGCTTGAGAAGTTGACCAAGTCACGCCAATTTATGGAACGTTTGTTTTATATATCCCGAGGATGAAGTGTCAGCCACAACGACAATTTATTTACCCAATCATTGGTTTATTCGTCAGGTATCAATCCGTTTTGTCTTATGTTGGTAAGGGGCATGTATAGTATGTATGTCAGGGCCATTCTCGCATGCCTAACATATCTGTCGGATTTACTTCACTGTAAGTTTCGACGGTAATCACCTTACTTGTGTTGCTTACAAAGATTGCCTCCAGTTTGTCTTGAGCGTTTGCGATAATGTGTCCTCGATTGGTGACGAGACGTTCGTGAGCCACTTGCAAAGCTCGGCGAACAGATCAACAACCGACCAGCAACCAACCAACCTCGTTAGGCAATCAGATTGTTTCGGATACTGGGATATGGTCGCATGCCTAACATATCTGTCGGATTTACTTCACTGTAAGTTTCGACGGTAATCACCTTACTTGTGTTGCTTACAAAGATTGCCTCCAGTTTGTCTTGAGCGTTTGCGATAATGTGTCCTCGATTGGTGACGAGACGTTCGTGAGCCACTTGCAAAGCTCGGCGAACAGATCAACAACCAACTGACCAGCAACCAACCTCGTTAGGCAATCAGATTGTTTCGGATACTGGGATATGGTGCATCACTATCGGACCCTTGGAAGACTATACTGAGGATAAATCATCAGCGACCGCCATATACTAGTAAAATAACATTCGGCTGTAACACCCTTTCGGCGCCTAGCTATCATGCCACTCGGAAGAAGCACGAGGGCTAAGATAGTGTCCAGTCGCACAAATCTAGGACCTTCCGATCATAAAGTTCGCATCATCACAACTGAACTATCTCAAGCTCCTATATACAAGTAGCAAACGCCAGTGCTTAACTGTGACGCAAATATGAGAGGCAGTTTTTAGGCAGTACTAAATTACGAACTAGCCGAATTCGTCAGGCCACATGTCCTCCAACGGCGCACGAAATTAAATCGACCACATTGTCATCAATTATCGACGGCGCTGATCAATGTGACTGCCGGTCGTTTCAAAACGCATTTAAAGATTCCGACCGCGTACTTATCCTGAGCCCCTTCTCCCTTCATTCTCCAGGGTCGTGTGTGGTGGGGAAAAATCGCCTGGCAAATGAGAGACTGGAAGGTCCAGATGCGAGACGAATTTACCAGAATCGTCTTCTAGAGTTTCTTCCAAATGCCCTACTTTCAGACGTGAATTCATACTGGGACAAGAGTACCACCTCTTTGCACAGTGCCGGGAGTTTTGCCTGTGGCACGGCACCACCAGGTGCACCAAAGTACTGCGTATCAGTGACAACGTTCAAATCTGCAGGAAATATCCCAACCGGTCCTGAACATAACCTTATGCGACGAATTATCAGACGTCAAGTGGAAGTAAGCGTACGAGCTAATCGTGAAGTCTGGTGAACAAAGAAAGCCAAGGAAACGGAAGAGTCCCAGAAAGCTGGAAATGCCCGAAGATTACTTCAGTTGATCTGTGCGAACAGACCACGGAAACTGTCTGTGAACGAAACTACCAAGCATTGGAATGAAGTGACCCTCTTGAGTAGAGAACGCCTTGACAACTGGGTTGAATAGTTCGAACAGCACATATCGTGGTCACAAGCTGCCACTCATCTAGAGCTTACAGATGGCGTACAGCCCTGGACGATAAATGTGGAGGCTCCTTCGGTCCTGGAAAATGATTGAATACGTTCTCTTAAGCGTCACCGAACTTCTAGTCCGGACGACCTCCCACTCGCATTGTTCAAAGATGGGAGGTGAAGTCCTTAGTCCGTTGTTTTCTTATTTGTCTGCCTGCATTTTGGAAAAGTATACGGTTCCAGACAACTTGGGAGGGTCGGGGATAGTGCCCACTTTCAAAAAGGGGCTCGCACTAAATATGGTAACCACAGGAAGGTCAGATTGACTCCGATCGTCACGAGACTGTTGGCGTCACCTGTGCTTCGTCGCCTTATGGCGGCTGGTGAAACACTTATTCGAGAGCAGCAAGCGGGGTTTCGGTCTTTTAGGAGTGAAGTTGACCAAATCTTCACACTTCGTCAGGTGCTAGAACAACGCGATACGTATATACAACCCTCAATTTTAGTATTCCTGGATTTCCAAGGCGCGTTCATATCAGTTGACCAGCATGTCCTCCTTGAAACAGCTGCCTACCGGGGAATGCCACGGAAGTTCGTGAACATAATACGTTCTTTGTGTTCTCAGACTTCCGGACGTGTGAAGTACACAGAAATCTCTCCGAAAGCTTCTGTATACACAGCGGTGACGGTCACGGGTGCCCATTTCCTCCATTCCCATTTGATTTCGTGAGCAATGGAATAATGAGACGAACACCGGTGTTCCGACAGCCTGTGACGGAAACCTTGTCGCAGAATATGCAGACATCGTTTTCGTCTTCAAAGAGAAGTCACAGGTGTTTTTGGATGAACTGACAAAAGTCATCCAGTCCTTTGGCACGCACTTTGCACCCAGAAAGTGTCAGGCCACGCCCCTGGGTATCCAGCCACTAAACACGCAACTTACAATCCCGGGAAAACACTCGAAGTTGTGGGGCGTTGTACGCATCTTGGAAGTTGTATTATTTCTGCTTGTAGTGTGACGGATGAGAAGCATGCACGAATCTGCCAGGCTCACGTTGCGTTTGCTAATTTGAGACACCTATGGCGTCAAAGCGGTGTATCCATGTGTATCAAGCTACAGCGCGGGTTGCTTTGTTGTACGCCTGTGAGATTTGGCCTGTTCGGGTAGCGGAACTGATACGTCTTTTGACGCTCGACAATCGTTGTCCCAAGACCACAGCTCGCGAGGGTTAGTGTTAGAGTATCCATAACAAGGTAATTGGAAAGTGAGATTTCAGTAGTTCAACGGGGACTTCTATTGGAGAATGTGTCTAGCACCGGAAGCTGCGTTGGTCAGGCCATGTATAGTGTATGCCGAACCATCGTTCGCCATAGAGAGTGCTGTTTTCTGGGTGGCGGGAGCAGAGGGGTGTAAAACAGACTACGAAACGTCTGAGTGCTGTAGGTGGTACTCGCCTTCCAGGATGGGAACAGTAAGAAGTCCGCTGCGTCAAAACATATGGCCGCTAATCCATATCAATGGCGTTCTCATTGTCATTTACGATCCAGGTTGCCTGAATGGGTGTTTGAAGGTGTGAGCATCTCGGAATGACTGTGCTAAACTGGCACTAATTCCCTTCCACGTTTATCCTTCTCTTCACAATAAGGCTTTCAAGTAAATCATGGCTGCGAAGCATAAGGCTTTCAAGTAAATCATGGCTGTACAGCAGCGAAGAATTATTGTTGATCACTGAGGTCATGCTGTCGATGACGATGAAAGTGCGCTTCTGACAGCAAACGTCACAAGGTGGCGAACGTTGCTCACATCTGGATACCGCTTGCAGTGGCTTCTTCTGTCACGATGCACATATAGCCTCTGCAGCAGCCTTAGTAAGTAAATCGGCCAGCAATTCAGTCAGCTTTTTAGCTAAAAACCGAAACGGTGGTTTAACTACCATAGCCTCATTCACCAAAGATAATGGAAAGAACGAAATGAATCACGAGCTGGAGGCGACGACCCAACAGGTTCATTGAAGTTAAACGCTTCCGTGTTCTCACATTGAAGCCAACGGCTTTCATGCAAGAGCCACTGGCTGGGTGATACAGCCATGTCTGGGAGAGCCACTCACTATTGGATTACCTCGTGCCTGCGTCACCATCCAGGGAGACGGCGGTCATATGAACCACTAAGTGGAGTTGCAAAGGCTTTCATTTTCCGTTGAACATTCACGAACTGACCGCCCCTTGGTCGTTTCTATTTGAGACTTGCCTGCGCGAGGTTCCTGCGAGGCAAACGGTCCTTTGGCGTAAGAATTACGTGACCTGACCAATGGAGTGTGAAGAACTGGTCAATTAACGGAAAACCATCTGGCTTAGGTCGGCATTATCACTTTGAATGTCAAGGCGCATGTCGAAAATGGTATGACGGTGGTTAGCTCACTGAAAAGTGCTTGAGCTTCGTGTCTGTCTTAAAGATAAGGAAGACGTCCCCTGCATACTCCAGATCGACAAGGTTCTCACCACCAATGATTTGAACATTCCGGTTTTGAAGACCTTCCAAAACTCGCCTCATCATTTCATCGACGGTGCAGTTGATCAGGAACGGAGAGGATGGACATCATTGTCGGACACCACTTTTTGTAGGGTGACTTTTAGAGGGCTCGTCATACAGTCTCACATGCCCAGAATTACGTGGATGTAAGGATCAGACTACACTCACAAAGTTCTAGGGCATACCCTGCTAAGTGTGGCTAACAGCACTAACTGATTGACAGAATCGAACGCACAACTGAAGTCAAGAAACACAAAGACTGCGGGTGGTCTGTACATATGGTGTTGCTCTAACACCTGAAGGAGTGTACGGTAACCGACGCAGCATTTACCTGGTCAAAATTCCGCTTGATGCCCACGGACTCATGAGTCGCGTACCGCCGTAAGACGATGAGGAATCAGTGACGTCAGATTTATTGTTACAACGGAAGCCGAACTGACACTGCAAATATCTTTTTGAAAATGGGCACTATTATCAACTCATGCCAGATTTCTGGGTTGTTATCTTTCCCCAGAGAGGCACTCATGTAATCAGCGAGCACAACGATGTCTGAGCTTTTAGCCCGTTGTTCAGCATCAAAGAAGCTGTCTTTAGCAGACATAGAGCTATGGTCCGCCGGGGCGTAAGCATACACGATAAACAGGAATTGATGGACCACAATTTCTCGAGATTCTTTCACAGAAGTCAAACGAACCACGAAGGGCCACTATCCACAGGTATCTAATCAAGTAGAGAGGCCTCCGGTTGATCGCTCAGTACAACACCCACCCCGTCATATCCAGCCGCAGCGGCTTCTATATTACCAGCAGTGTGCAGCCGGAATTTGGATGAGAGGGCGCAGTTACAGCACTTGCGTCCTAGATCCTTGTTTCCGACAGACCATATATTAATGCAGATAGAATCCGGCGTATGAACGAGAGCCACTGGTTTTCTCGTTTGCTTCAGTGGTCGGCTGCGTTTGAAAACAGACGTCAAGTTGTCCACGGTTGTTATTGAAGTCCGGGGCACAGATACCTGAGGCACATCATCATCATCATCATCATCACTGTCAGCTGTAATAGCCGCGTACTCGTCGTACAGTGGTTGCAGCTGCCGCAGTTTCGTTCACCGATGATTTGGAGTGGGGGGTAGGTAGCTGCGCATTGCACGCGCGAGCTGGTAAATTGGTGCATAAATCCAGCATTGTCAGTGGGTTGTCAAGTGGGGGGGGGTTGGAAAAGAAGCTATGCATTGAAAGCAATAGCTTTGATGCACGAGCACCATTGAGGGCGCGACTGGGCCATGTCTGATAGTGTCTCTAGGAATTGATGTGGCCCGTCTCGGGGTCCCCATCCAGGAAGACGACAACTACCAGCGCAGCTGAGTTTGCTGGTAATGGCTTTCACACTTCGCTGCCAAGTCATTGTTTGGCCGCCTCTGGCTCTCTTCCACCCTTCACA